CTTGCTTGCTCTACTCTTTCAAGCTTGCATGGTAATGTCAGTGGAGGAGGGTGAAGAGAGCAGTCAGCCACCTAGTAGGTATAATATGGTTTTAAAAAGCAGCCAAATGAAAGGATATAGCCTGGCAAATTTTTTGTGTCTGAGATACTCATAGACAAATGCCTCAATACCTCCGATAAACATTATCTTATGTCTGTGGGTACTTTCTTATTCAATATCATACTATTTAATGCTATTTTGGGGTCCCCTATAGGAGGTTCATCATACATACAGTACATCAATTTTTCTGTGCATTAATAAAATTATGTCCTAATTATAACAAATAATCACAGTGGACATGCTAGTGTGGTTCATCTTGTATGTATACACAATATATAAAAATTACGCACATAAAATATATATTATGTTGTAAAGTGCTGCGTAAACTGTTGGCGCTATATAAATCCTGTATTATAATATATATACTGTATATATGTTGTATATACACAGTATAATGTATATATTCAAAAGTGATCAGGATCTTTAACCTCCTGCCTGCCAGTTCTGACATTTCTGTCCTACATGTAAAAAATATAATTTTTACTTAGAGCCCCCAAACATTATATATAATGTATAATATAATATATATATATATATATATATATAATTTTTTTTTTTTTTTTTTTAGCAACGGTCCTAGAGAGAATAAAATAATGGATGTTACAATTTATGTCAGAAGGTAGATATGCTAGGGAAAGGGGGTTCTAAGTGATTTCTCAGCAAAATAAAGCATGCAGAGGTTGATGGATGGGGGAGTTTGCTTTGAAGATCAGAGGATTAAAAGTGAAATAAACAGCATTTTTGGCTTGTGGTGCTCAGATGTAGTGTACTTCCACTTTAACAAATCTTCATTGTGAAACTAGCAGAAGTGACGCTCACACTGTAGATATACAGCAATAAGTCTAACCACACAGGAAGTACAGTAATTCAATCCACTGAAGGAATTTAATACAAAAAGTAAATTTTTCAGAGTACTTCTTAAGCCGGTCATTAATGGGTTTACTTCAGTACAACCAGCCTGTCAGATTTTCTTCATGTACATTCTTCAGGTACAGCCGCTAGTAGTGATAATTGTGTTCTGTCAACAGGTAAAGCTCCCCGCTGGCAGGATACAATAGAGCTGCAGGAGGGATTCCCCTGTCAACATTAAATATGCTGATGGGGAAATCAAGCTATTTTCTTTCCGTCTACCAATGGTGGAAGGAAAGAAAACTGTATAATCTATGACTTGCCTTAGGCACAATAAACATTTTAGATATTCCATTTAAGATAGCAAATTTTCACTTTTTGCGTTCAGGTCCACTTTTATATATAACAGTGATTGTGTTCTTTTAGGTTCATTGGCTTTCAAGCAGAACCATTGAATGGAAAACATGCCTTAGCAGAAGGATCATCTCTAGTAACGCATAATACAGCATGTCTATTAACAATTGAACAGTCTTTGAAGCTGGGAATCAGCATATGGTAACATACCTCCCGCAGACAGCTTTTATTGACCAATACCACAGTCAAACAGTAGCAACAAAGGTCTGTAAATATTAAAACAGAAAGGCATTAAAGACATTTCACATGTTCTACAAAAACCAGTATTGCAAACATGGAGATCATCCATTGAAGCAGCACAGCAGTAGTGGTGCATATTACTTGTAGATGAAAGCAGTGACATTTTTTTCTCTTAGTTCACACAGTTGTTAATAAAGTAGAACTCCGGGATAACCCTAACTAATCTAAAAGCAGAACTTTACTCATAAGAGTTTGATAGAAATGGCAGGAAAAGCAGAGTGGTCCATCGAACCTGCCGTTTTTTTCTGTGTGTGTTTTTTTGTGTTTTCTTTTTTTTTTGGGGGGGGAGGTTTGTTTTTTATTTTTGTTTTTTTTTTGGGGGGGGGGGGGGTTGGGGTTTTTTATTTGTTCTTTGTTTTTGTTAACTTTTAGTATAGCAGCGTGACAGCTCGTAAGGAGAGAAATGCTGATAACCGGCATTTCCCTGTTTACATGTGATCAGCTGTGATTGGACACAGCTGATCATATGACCGAGCCGACATCTTTGGCTCTTTCCGTGGATCGGTGATCCGCTGTGTCCGAGGGACACAGCGCACCGCCGATCGCCGCGCTACGCGCTCCCGGAGCCACGCATGCGCGGTGAGAATGGGAGGATGTCATATGATGTCCTCCCAGAACGAGAGAACTACCTTGCGCCCGTCATTGGACTATATGGCGGGTGGGAGGTGGTTAAAGGTTTCAGTCATGTCTCTGCTTTCCTTTCTTTCCTCCAGACTGTATATGTTAAGTTCCTGAGCTTTATCCCCCAGACCTTTTACCATTTTTGTTACCCTTCTCTGGACTCGTTCTATCTTATCAGTATCATTCTGTAAGTGAGGTCTCCAGAACTGGATACAGTATTCTAAAGGAGGTCTAACTAAAGATCTATAGTTGGGAATCAGGACCTCCTTCCTCCTGTTGGTGACCCCTCTAGTGATGCATCCTTGAATCCTATTTGCTTTCCCCACAGCCTGGTCACACTGTTTGCTCATTTTGCAATCATCTGAAATAAGTACTCCCAAGTCCTTTCCTCTGAAATGCTGGCCTACAATGTACCCTCTATGTCAGTGGTTCTTAACCTGGGTTTTCGATCGAACCCCAGGGGTTCGGTGAGTCAGTCTCGCGGGTTCGGCAGAGGTGAAGACCCACACCGACTCATATGATTCGTGCAGTAAATATTCATTATTATGTTTTTGTTTTTGTGTGAAAATCATGTTTTTAATGGTTTTGTTCTTTGTTCTTAACGGTTTTGTTCATTTTGTGCACCTATGTATAAATATATACCTAAATATATACCTATGTTTTGAATTTTAAAAATCATATTTTATTTTTCCAATTAAGAAGGGTTCGGTGAATGCGCATATGAAACTGGTGGGGTTCAGTACCTCCAACAAGGTTAAGAACCACTGCTCTATGTTGTGCTCTCTCAATGGATTCTTTCTCCCTAGGTGCATTATTTTACATTTAGAAACATTGAAGTGCAATTTCCACTTTTTTGACCAATCTTACAGCAATGCCAAATCATGTTCTATCTTACAAATACCTTCAGGGATATCAACCCACCTTTGTGTTACACACCTTTGTGTGCACAGCCGTGGATCCTGCCAGCGTGTCCAGATCTGGTCTCCCACAGTACACAGAACATGGAAGTGCAATTATGTTAGCAAATTTAAAACTGCTAAATACCTTTTCTCAGCAGCAGTTAGAGCTGTCTTGTGACTTCTATTAGCAGAGCACATGTTAAAGCTTGTAGGAGGAGTTTTCAATTTTCTCTAGGAGGATGCGAGACCCCTTACCTCTGTCTGGACAGTGCTGATTGACTCTGTGCTGATCACATGCACTCTCCCAAGAAACAAAAAACTTCTCTAGCAATGCACACCAAACTGAGCATGTGCAGAGTGAATCCACCGATATGTCTTATCACGAGATAAGGGGGGACACTGGAAGAAGGGGAGTATCAGAGAAGTCAGGATCACACAGCCTTTTTACACAATGCAGAGGATTAACCCCTTGGGTTCTACATAACAACCATGATTTACTGCATATACAGACTGACTTTACTGTTGTTGGTTTAGTAACACTTTAACTGCCAGCAGGTATAAAATACATATCAATAAAACATTACATTTTTTAAATGCAGTGTTAGAGCTCTTTCACACTGATTTGTTTTTGATGCATTCTTGAGGTAAAAAAAAAGCGGAAGAAAAAGGCATGAAGAATGTTTCCTTTTAAATCCTATGGAACTCTTCACACCAGTGTGCTGCGGGTGCGGTAGTTTTGAAAAGTCTTGCATGCTGCATGTTTGGTGCACCCTTCAAAAGTGCACCAAAAATGCATCTTCCATTGAATTCTACAGAAAATGCACCAGAAACAGGTAAAAAATGCACCTGTGGTGCACTATTGCTGCATTTTTTTAAATCACATATCCATATGCGTTTTTTTTTTGTGTGTTTTTTTCAACAGAGCAGTGTAAAAGAGCACTAAATACATAAATTTTTTAATATATATATATATATATATATATTGCAGTACAGTGGTCAAGTGGTTAGCACTTCCACTTGGCAGTACTAGGGTCATTGGTTCAAATCCCAGCCATGGCACCTTCTGCCTGTTTGCATGTTCTCCCTGTGCCTGTGTGGGTTTCCTCCAGGTGCTCTGGTTTGCTCTCACACTTCAAAGACATGCTGGCAGGTTAATTGACCCTAGTATGTGTATGTATGAATGTGAGTTAGGGGCCTTAGATTGTACACCCCTTGAAGATTAGGGACTGATGTGACTGTACAATATATATGTAAAGCGCTATGTAAATTGACAGCACTATTAAGTACCTGAAATAAATAAATATTGTGTACTATATTTTTACAGCAGCACTCAGTCTGGGATAAATTAGGAAAAGACTAGAATCCAATTCCACTTCAAATGTGTTTACAGGAACATGCTGATAGAAGAAGAGATCAGAGTGAACAGAAGAATGAACTCATCAGTTTGTTGCTTCTCCTTCACCGTCAATCAGAAGGCTAGAAAAGAAGAAAGGACACTCCTGTATTCCTTACTGTAAGTGTGATGGAGATGTGTAAGTCAGGACTGGATGGACGAAAATACAAACTTGTTCGCAGATAGAACAGTTCCTGGATGAGTGTTCCATTTTTGAATTTCTGATTCTGTTGTAATATTTGTTCAGACAAAAAAAAATCATTGTAGTTGAAATAACAGGTTAGAACTACTATGCAATACTGTAGTGTATATCCAAAGGAAATCTGCAGTAGTGAGGTTTTCTAGGAGTTATTTGGATGCTGAGCAGAGGAAAGAGACCTGCCAATGTCACACTGCATGTCAATTGAGAGGCAGGAGGGGGCAGTCCGGTTGTTGTCGGGAATAAAGTAGCCTAGCAACGTTGTCCCAATAAGACGGAGACATGAATGCAAACACAAGTCTATAGAAGTGGCTGTGCAGGTCCTGGCAGACTTGAAGAACAAGCATCCTCATGGAGCTGTGAGCACGGCAAGGTAAGACATCTCATATATCAGTAGTGGTGTGTAGCCTGACACAGGCAATTAGGGGTTTAAGTCCTTTAATGAGTGCTAATCTGCTGGGACCATTTCAAAGTAAAACTTTCTTTTCCAAAACTTTTCGCAATTAAGTTTGATCCCATCTGTGGCGACGAGCTCATGTTCTTACATAAGAGGTCCTTATCACCTGTTGTGGTTAAAGTAGAACTCTTGTATCCAGTGAATACTACGTATGAGAAGAAGAACTAGAGGTCCTGCCAAGAAAACCTACGCTGGCCATACATGTAACTACAGATCTATGTGATATACGGATACATTCTACAGAGCAGCTGTGTCTTTCAGAAAGTGATTGCACTACATCAGGGGTCTCCAAACTTTCTAAAGAAAGGGCCAGTTTAGTGTTCTTTAGACTTTAGGGGGCTGTACTGTGCCCAGTGGGAGTAAACAATGCCCGTTCTTTGGTATTAGGTGGAGAAATAGTTGGTGTCCTTGGGAGGAATAGTGCCGTTTTTGTTGTCAGTGGAAGGAATTATGCCCTATTATTGGTATCAATGGAAGGAATAGTGCCCCGTTTTTGGTGTCAATGGCAGGAATTATGCCCCATCATTGGTATCAATGGAAGGAATAGTGCCCCATTGTTGGTGTCAATGGCAGGAATTATGCCCCATTTTTGGTATCAGTGGAAGGAATAGTTCCCCATTGTTGGTGTCAATGGCAGCAATTATTCCCCGTTATTGGTGTCAGTGGAAAGAATAGTGCTCCACTGTTGGCATCAATGGCAGGAATTATGCCCCGTTATTGGTGTCAGTGGAAGGAATAGTGCTCCATTGATGGTGTCAATGGCAGGAATTATGCCCCGTTATTAGTGTCAGTGGAAAGAATAGTGCCCCATTGTTGGTGTCAATGGCAGGAATTATGCCCCGTTTTTTGGTATCAGTGGAAGGAATAGTGCCCCATTGTTGGTGTCAATGGCAGCAATTATGCCCCTTTTATTGGTGTCAGTGGAAGAAATAGTACCCCGTTGTTGGTGCAATGGCAGGAATTATGCCCCATTATTAGTATCAGTGGAAGCAATAGTGCCCCATTGTTGGTGTCAATGGCAGGAATTATGCCCCGTTATTAGTGTCAGTTGAAGGAAGAGTGCTCCATTGTTGGTGTCAATGAAAGGAATTATGCTCCGTTATTAGTGTCAGTGGAAGGAATAGTGCCCCATTGTTGGTGTCAATGGCAGGAATTATGCCCCGTTATTGGTGTCAGTGGACGGAATAGTGCACCATTGTTGGTGTCAATGGCAGGAAATATGCCCGTTATTAGTGTCAGTGGAAGGTATAGTGCCCCATTGTTGGTGTCAATGGCAGGAATTATGCCCCATTATTGGTATCAGTGGCAGAAATAATGCCTCAAGGGTCAGATAAAGGCAAGGAAAGGGCCGCATCCGGCCGCAGGGCCATAGTTTGGAGACCACTGCTCTATATCAGCCTTGCTCAGCCTCTAAGACTGCATACACACTTGAGTGTTTTGTAGCTTGAAGCTTGAAAAAAGCTCAAACCTTAAAAAATCAATTGTTCTCTGTGGTGCCTGTTATTATTATTATTATACAGTATTTTTATAGCGCCAAAGGGTATGCTCAGTGCTGTACAGTAGCAGGGGGAACAGAACATGAGACAAGACAGTAACAATACAATACACGAGGGGTTCGAGGGCTCTGCTCTTTTGAACTTACGATCTAGGAGTTCACACCTGATCGCGTGAACAGGTACCATAGAGAACAATTGATTTTTTTCAATTTGAGCTTTTTTGGAGCTTCGAGCTTCAAGCTACAAAAAATTCAAGTGTGAATGCAGCCTAAATGGAGGAACTGATGAGATCATTCTCAGGCTATTCATCAATTCTTTGCTCAAGAAACCCCTGGGTACCTCAGGAGGAATTATAAGGTTCCACTAAACGTTGGTTGAGAAAGGCTGCTCTAAATGGACAATCCAATGAATTAATATCTTTGAAAAATATCCAATCACATTTGTAAAAGTTTAACTTTTTTCTGTGGTCTGTTGAACAATTGGAATATTGCAAACATACATTCGAAATCTATCAAATCTATAATTGATCTTTCATTTTTCATTATGTGTATGGGAGCCTTCCACCATATTTACTGTGTGATATTATTTTGAATTATGTTAGCCAGGTGGAAGGCTTGCTCTAGGTTTACATATCACATACTCATTAAGGTGTGTTGGGAACATGCACTCCAGACACATTGCACTGCAGTGACATTACTGGCACTGCCATTTGTTTGTGGTCTTACCTACTCATTGGATTCTAAATGTCAAGGGCTAGTGACAGCTCAATTGCTGAAGGAATAGGTCACTAAAACAAAGAGTTTGGAGGTAAGTTGACACGTGGTACTTCTTGGATGTTCTTTTTAATTTTTATATTTGACTAGAGTTCCACTTTAATGGTTATAAAGCATAGGTATGGGATTTTTTTTACCTATATGTAATAATAGAGTTGTATATGTACAGCATCATTCCCTAATCAATAGTTTTCAGACAGCATAAAGGAAGGAATATGTGGCTCCAATATAGTAAAATACTTTGACAGATTGAATTATCTATGCAAATTGTCACATAGATTCACATAAATCAAGCTGTTAATATAACAGACTCTTCTGGTATATATTTGTGATAGTTCCTAGCAGGGGCGGACTGACAACTCATGGGGCTCCCGGGCAATAGGGAATCATGGGGCCCCTGTGTCCTTGCCAAAACTCAAAAAATCCTATGAAAAAGGTACCAGGGGCATCTCATGGGGCCCCCTACTGACCCCAGACCCTCGGGCAGTGCCCAAGTTTCCAAATGGTCAGTCTGCCCCTGGTTCAGACTAGGTTTCCAAACATTCCCAAGCTCACCACTAGTGGTTATGATAGAAATATATAGCATGTCTGCTGTCACTGACTATTTTCTTTCCAAATGGTCAGTCCGCCCCTGGTTCCTAGATTGTAAGCTCCAAAAAGCAGGGCCCTCCTAACCCTCTTGTATTGAACTGTATTGTTGCTGTATTGTCTCCCATTATATTGTAAAGCGCTGAACAAACTGTTGGCTCTGTATAAATCCTGTATAATAATAATAATATTTGAATTATTATTGGAGAAAATAATGCCGTAACCTAATCAGCGTGACTACAGCTTTAGCAAACAAGAGGTACAATACATCTCAAATATTTCTAATTTTTTTTTACTGACAATTATGCATTATTACACAATTGTTAAGCTATATGATAAACCCTATTTAGGTTTCATAAATTGTTCCCCTTCTATTCTCATATGCATTGCCCTATAACCACTATGTGCTCTGTGTTTGCACTTACTATGTCAAATGTATTTGCTTTCCTGACGTCTGTGTTTTCTTAACCCCATGACGGAAAATCCTACACAAATAAACTTACAACTAGCAAACAGAAGTTCCCGAAGACAGTATAATCGTTTAACACCTTACAGGAATTAATGCATGTGTGTGCTGATAGATTGGGGAAAGCTTTTCACCGAGAATGCTTAACAGAGCTAAAGAAGTGTCATACTGAGATTTACCGTTATGTCAAAGGAGAAAATTTCACAGGTGATGCTGTCTGGGATTTAAAGAGTTCCCTGTCACATGCCTAAAGTGTCACTCCCCTTTTTAAACACATTTTATACTGTAAGACAAGGCATTATAATTATCAAGGAAAAAGTTTTTTGTTACGTGACTTTCTTTACTACAATACAGTTTCACTATGTATGCAGTGGGGTATTTAGGCTTCGTGCTGTCCTAGACAACACAAAAATCGTCTGCCCCCACGAACACCAACCAACCCCCCCCCCACCCCCTCCTGCAGATAGAGCCTGACATTGACCAACAACACCCCTGCCCCCCACCTGGGAGAGCTTTCCATTACCCCCCCCCCCCTTCCCAGCAATAGAGAGAAAGACACTGATCTTCACAGCTCCGGACGTCCCCGGGAATGAGAGTTAGGGCTCATGTACACTGCAGCTGATAAACTCACATTTAGGAGCTTTTCAGCATTTTTTTCAGCAGCCCCTGAACTCTCCCTAATGTTTTCCTATGGGTCCATGTACACATCTTTGTTTACAGTCGTTTACAGGCATTGGAATTTATAGTCTTTTTTGCATGCAGAAAACTTGCGTTCAGCAGTCGATTTTATCAGCGTTTCAAAGCAAAACGCGGCTAAACGCGGCAAATATCGTTTATATGTGTTTGCGTTTAAAATTCTTTTAACTCTTCCAGTTCCCGATGCTGTCTAGAGCCTTTTTTCATCATAAAAAATGCATGCAAAGCGTTTTCAAGGTACTCAGATGGACAAAACACTGAACACAGGATGTGCCTACCAAGCTTGTCACACATTGTAATGACCAAGTCACACCTCAGACCTCTCCCACCCTTGGAAACAAAAGATATTTTAATGACCATTCACACCTCAGATTCCTCATGAAGTTCCTCTGCTAGGTGGCCTTAATGACTCATGTCACCAGACACCTTTCCCACCCTTGGAAACAAAAGAAAAGTTAATGAACAACTCATACCTAAGCTACTGTCAACACATACTGCTGTCTCTGCTTCTACTCTCTGTATTTCTCTGAAACAGTCTGAAATAGTTAATAATTTACCACTTTTCAGTGCATTCTGGGCATTTGGGAGGTTCTCCTGTGCTTATCTTTAAAAAACGCTTCTAAACGCAAACGCACATAAATGCACATAAACACATGCAAACGCGGCTAAACAGACGTTTTTTAACCTACGTTTTCCAGCAGTCAGCTTTCATCATTCACAAGTGTCCTGTGTACATGGGGCCTTAGGCTCTACATGCACCATCAAGCAGCCTGCAGCCCTGTCTCGGATCCCACCTGGCTCCTATTGCACATGCGTCCCTTCTTTCATCCCTTTTTTGGGGGGGAGGTGCTGCCTCCCTGATAAATGCCGCCCTAGGCAAGTGCCTTGTTTGCCTTG